CGCTGAAGCGTCGACCATTTCTGGCCTGCAACTTTCAGCGTCATTAAGCCGCTGCGCCACCGCGTCCCCCTACTCTAAAGTCTAAACAGACTTAAAAAATTTTTTTTTCTCAAAATCTGTCCTAATTAGCAGCATGATAGGTTGAAAAGCCTACACATAGAGACCTGCAGAATTTTCATTTACAGAAGTGCTAGCTGGTTATGCAATTGTATATTCTTTTAATACAGTACTTTTTTTTTTTTTTTTTAACAAGGGGAAGTATTTTGCATAGGTGACAAACTCTGTGAAAATGCCATGCTGGCTAGGGAACTCTGGGAGTTGGTCCACACATCTGAAAGTTGCTGAAGTTGAAGAACAGTGTTCTAGAGTCAACCATTATTGTGCTGATGCTACTAAAGAAGAAAAGTTTTACCGCACTTTACTGATGTCTGGGTGATACTGTAAGATGCTCTAAGGCAGCAGCAGGGAAGGGATGGAAATGGACAAAGTACATCTGTCAACACTTAGGAGATCTGTGAACAGTCTTTCCCCACTAAAGAATCTGAGGGTTTCTTAATGATCAAAACTGCAAACAAGATGATGAAGCAGAATGATAGTAAACTGGGGAATTGGGTGCAGCATGATCGAAGGACCACATCTGGCCAAGATATTAAGCTCCTCTTTTTCCTGAGTTTCCTTTCTATTTCAGTGGGAGAAAAATTAGCAATACTAATTCCATGCTGGGATAGCAGCAGCTTTTGCAATACCAGGTTGTCTGTACTAGTTTTTAGTACATATTTTATCCTGTCCCATCTATAAAGCTCCTTTCCATTGGCAGGATACTTCTGCCTAAACCTAAATGCTTCCAGCAAGTAGTTAGATTGCACCGAAAGTAAAGATATTGTGACTATACCAGGGCACTAAGCCATGCTTAGCCACTAAGACACATTAAAAAAAAAAAAAGTTTAGAATAACCATGTGATTCTCTGTTTCACTGAATTCTTTAGTATACTGTAATTTTTTAAAATTATTCTCTCTGTAAATATTACCACATATCTTAAAATTGAAAATGGCAAGCTTTGTTCAAACTTTAGATATGTATTTATCAAAATTCAGAAACTGCATTCACGTATATGAGAATATGCGTGTGTAAAAGATGGTGATAAATAATAACTAGTAATAGTGATAAATCGTTCTGTAAACCTGTAAAAAAACAAACAACAGATCTGTGAATTGCCTCAATAGTCAATAATTAAATCAGTTATGCCAGGGATAGGTTGGCTGGATAGGCTGGCTACTAGATCTAACAGCTGGCCTTTTTGGTGACTGAAGTAGGTTGGCAAAGATTTATTAATGGTGAAAGCAAAATAATCTCTCCCCTCCCTGTCCTGCCAACTCTCCAATTATCTGCTACTCAAATGAAGAATGGAAAATGGAGATCGGGGGCGGGGGGGAAGAATAGTAATCAAGAATTGATTTTTGTGTACCAGATAGTGTTGGTATTTATGTCCTGAATTCAAAGTGTATCTCTTAGAAAAAAGCAAAATGGATCCTGCAAGTCTAAGATCTGCACATTGCTGATTTAAACTGCTAATAATAGTACATATACTTTTCTACTTTTTACTAATATTAAACTACTCAGAGAGAGTTGTCTTTTGTTTAAACAGTACTGCTTATAAATATAATTAGAATTCATTTATAAGCAACACTGCTTAAACAAAACTAAAACTGAATTCATACATGCATGTTCATCACTGAATGACTGCAACATCAAGGGCTAACTTACATGATAAGAACTAAACAGCATAAACTCAATAGTATTTTACAGTACTGACAATGGGTGCTGTCCTAAAACAAAATTTATATCCTGAGTTGCAAGCCAATGATATAGGAGAGCAGAAGGAAAAAATGGTGGAAAGAGATGTGTTTGAAAGTACCATAATGAAAAGATTATATTTTTATAAGGTTTTATCAGTTATTTAAATGCAAAACAGTTTTCTCAAGAAGGTAGTTCATAGAAGGATATGTGTTGATCAAGTAAGACTAAAAGCACACATCTTTGTAACAGAGCACTCTTTCATCCTAAATGACTTGCTACATGCATAGTCACTATATTCACATATCATTCTAAGCTGTAATTGCTTGTTTTTAGCATAAGGTAATATGCAAATAGGATCAGTGAATAAACCATTACTTGTTTTAGGGAAGTAAACTACAGATTGAAACAACAATTTGCTGTTGGCTAAATCATTATAAGTCATGTAAGGCTTCATGTGTTCAGGGTTATTCCTAATTTGTCTTGTGCCTTGCCCAAACTTTTGACCTATCCACATGGATGTAATGAAAGTGCAGTTAAATGAGAAGAAACAAACTATGAACTGGCCAAAGAACTATAATTACTATGCTCACTGAAAGAACTCTGTCATATTTAACAAGAGATGGCTTAGCATGATGTGTGAATGCAGTCACATTTTGTAAAAATTCTAAGTCTAGGAGCAATTTAGAGAACACTGAAAGAGTTTACAAGGAAAGGCGGAAAGGAGAGGTTTTGTATGAATCTTTGTATCTAAAGATTATTATTATTTATTATTTCTGCAAGTTCTGATTATTTTTTGTTACCAGATTCACAGTGTTTCTTCAGAATAATTCTATTTGGATTACTATATATTCTATCTATCTATCTATCTATCTATCTATCTATCTATCTATCTATCTATCTATCTATCTATCTATCTATCTTTGAATTTTGTATATCCTAATAGTCATGAAGAATTTTTTTGCGTACCACAGCTTTCAGCTTGAGTAGAACTAGTACTTCTGGGATGCAAAAAATCCAGATAGCTACTGGAAGGCAGAAAAGATAGTTTTTGTATTTTTTTACTGTCATCCAGGGGATATCTGAATTTTTGCAACTCGCATCTGAGAGTCCCAAGCTTGGGAAAAGAATAAACTTGTAGGAGATATTGTTAATTTCTACTTTACAACAGGCTATCCTTCCAATATAGTAACCTAATATAAATGATATACTTAGCCTCACTATTCATAGATATCTGAACTTTTCATAACAAAGTAGGTCCTTTGGTTGGTCTGTTTTGCACTAAAAATGGATGACATTCTATGTCTTTAGATTTTGGATTTCTTGATTGTGGAGATAGTAAAACTGGAGCAGAAAATTCTTGAGCTGTTCTCTTCTGTTGATGAAAATTGTTAATGTAGCTGGCAATCAGCAGAGTAATCTCAAGGATCTGAAACAAAATGCATGTAGTCAATAGTACCTATACATTTAGAACACCATTAACAAATCTTAATTGTCCAATTGGACTGGATTTAATTGTATATTATACTAAAACATGATCCTATGTATATTTGGTGAAATAAATTCACCTAGCTTCAGCCCTGCACATTCTAAGATAAGGTCAGACCCCTTCTACAGTAAAGTACTTTAGTACTTTTCTGCCTAAAAGAAATACTGTATCAACCAGAGAAAGCCCAAACAGAAAAGTGTCAACATTTGCTTAATTTTTTCTATTTTTTTACTTTGCACATAGCAAACATTTTAAAAACTAACATAGTTACCTGTGAAAAATATTGAGAAAGAAACATGATGGCAAGATACATGATGGCAGATGTAACTATTCAAATTATCACCTTTGCTGTCCATATCTTTATGAATAGCCACTACATTTCTGTTCTGCTGATGCAATATAGGAAGTACTGTAGATATGCCAGAAGGAATTCATCATCCAGAATAGGATCCAGGTTAGTAACAGACACATTCAGTGGTATTTGGATATGTCTCCCCATAACTAATCCATGAGGTGTAAGCCTCAAATTTTGACTGGGTGGGTTGTATATGCTCATTAGAGTGAGTAACAGAGCATCTAGCCAAAATAGATGATAGTCCTGGGTGAGTTTAGCTAATTTATTCTTTAGTATGCCATTAAAGTCTGCCTTAAGATTCAAATTCAAAACTTTCTCCAATGGATTAATAATATTGTTGACAAAGTGTGTCCAGTGATCAAAGGTTATGAAGCAGAGGATATGGTACCTGGGCACCAGATGATGTAACAATACTTTAGCTACAGAAATGGCATCAGCTTTTCTTGTTGCGAATGCCTCCACCCATTTGGAAAACATGCTTATAGCCTTTTGAAAATGGTAGTTCAATAAAGATCTACAGGCAACACTGTTATAGTCAGAAATATCTTTATAATAATAACAAATACTGTAAGGAAGAAACTTGGAGAAAGACAACTCAGAATCTGACAGTTTGAGGATATTTTTCTAAACATTCTTGATTCTATCTTCTATCTCTTCTCATTTTACTTCATATATTTCTGACATAATGGTTGTAGCCAGTCCCAAAGCCTTCCTGCATGCTTTTTACAACCTTCCACTTACCTTTATATTTTGTTTAGATAAGTGGGCATAGTTTTAAACAAAGGACTGGTTACAGCCATCCACCTTTCTAAGAATACCTGTGGGATCCTTCTGGGAACTAGAAACATTTTTGAAACTAAAAATGGTGCTAATGGTTTGTTTTACACCATGCCAACTTCACATATTAAATTTAAGCATTTTGAAAAACAAAACTTAAAATCAGTTAAGCAGGGAGATTTCGGTGGGTGCCAGGTGCCTACCCTTGTTCTACATATACAATGTCATTTAAAGCTGGTGAATAATTTTGGTTAAGATACTAACCTTTGGTTTGGCAAACGTAAACAAGAGTTTTTCAGTATGCTTCTCTTCTGTATTCATGTTGTTTACCACCAGCATAAAGTCTTCCTGATAACCTCCAAAGGTCACTAGGTTCTTATATAAATATGTCACTATTAACCTCTTGGAAGTCCAATAGAAATGATGTTCCATTCAAGAGAGAGAAAGAAAAAAAAAGGGAACATAATTTCTACTCATTTTAATATACGTGGCTTTGAACTCAGAAATTATGTAGCTTTTAGCATGATTATAAGGGAGCCTTTCATTTCAGTAATAATCTGCCAGGACTGCATTTTGAACCTTTTTACTAATGTGACCAACACACAATCAGTTCAACCAAATTATTCTACAACATGCTCACTGCATACCATACCTATCCCACGCAGACGCAGGACACACAAATAAATAAATCAGACTATCACAATCATAATGTTTATTGAAATATATGTACCAGTGGATTGGATCCTGACTTACTCATATTTAAAGAACACCCTTTGAAAGCAGAGGCACAATATCTAACTATCTTCAGCCCTTTTGATTTTAATTGATCTACATTAAGTATGATTAAATCTGGATCCATTCCAATGAGACTTATTTTTCAGAAAGAGCACTTGGCATTATGGCCTGAGGTATGCTTTTAGAAATAACCCCTTGTAATGGGATGTGAGAATAACACTGAGGAACAGGAGGAAGAGTTGCAGCCAAGACAACAGATAGATAAGAGAAATCCTGTTTTCTTTAGGATAAAGGCAGGGAAGGGGGTGGCACATTTAGACTTGCAAGGTACTGTAATACTGTATGTATTAGCATTCATAAATTTGGTTTCCTTGTCTGGTCTACCTCAAAGGGCTGACAACAATCTTGCAAGTCTGAATGTGCCTCCTTTCCCTGCCTTTAATCCTAAAAAGAACTAGGGAGGGTCAAGTCTGAGACATTTTCTCAAATTACTTTTTCTCCTTTGGACTCAGATTTCTTTTATCTGACCAATGTCTTGGCTGTGGCCCTTCCTCCTGTTCCTCAAGGTTATTCTCCCATCCCATTGCACCCCTACTCCCAATCACGTTCACATTCACCTAATGAATAATTATGGTTAGGATAATAATGGATATTTTCTTCTAGCAGCAATTTTTATATATGGTATTACAGGGAGGAGATGCAAAAGTTGAGGTTGAAGAATCAGCATTTATATTACAAATTGTAATTTCCATAATAGTACTATTTAAAATGCAACTTTTCAAGAATATCTTCTAATAGTGAGAATCTAAATCAATGACAACCAGTTGTACAGGATGCTTTCTTTAGCACACAAATTATATAGTTTGCTGAATTCCTATTTTATATAAGCTGGCCTAACAGTATAAATAACATTTGCTGTTATATACCATTCATTTCTTTATAAAGTATTCAAACTATTTTCCTCTTACCATGGAGTTATATTCAAGAATGTTAATACCATTTTCAGAAACAGCAAGCCATATCAAAGTGCTCTCCAATGTGGATACTGTCAAAAGCTAAAAAACAAAAAGAAAACACATATATATACACACACACACACACACACATACTTAGCTGCAGTGATGACATTACATACAATAATGAACTGTTCTACACTTTAATTAATAACTGAAATAATGAACAATTATATAAAAGAAACTACTTGGAGGCAAACAACAAAGGCATATTGGCATTTCCTGTGGAAACAAAAACAGTACTACAAAGATGTGGTGGGTTCCCCTTCACTGGATATATTCAGGCAGAGACTATACAATCACTTGCCAGGAATGCTTTGATTTGGATTCTTGACTCAATGGCCTAAATGGCTTATTCCAACTCTGCTTTCATGATAATCAGATTTTCCTGCATCTGGAGTATTCCATCATGTTCAAACATAAAGTGATATCAAAACAATTAGGTTTTTGACTTTCTATGTTCTACCTTAACAATTACTATTTAATAATGATGTACTATTATATGTATAATTTATATAGTGCAGGTAAGGCAGGGTGCAAGTTATACCACTGGGTTACATTAGAAGATCATGGGAGGCGATAGTTTTATTGTACTCTGCACTGGTTAGATTGCACCTGGAGTGCTGCACATAAAAAGGGACACAAAAAAATCCTGGAAGCGGTTTGTAAGAAACCATGCCTTATGAGGAAGGGTAAAAGGAGCTGGGCATGTTTAATTCATAAAAAAGAAGATTAAGGAGAGATACAATATTGCTCTATAAATATCTAACCAACTGTCATGTGGAGCGAACAGATCTTTTACTTGTTCAAACCAAGAGCAGAACAAGGATCAGTGGGTTGAAATTAAAAGAAAGGAAATTCAGGGTTAAGATTAGGAGGAATTTCCTGACAGTTAGCAGCTGTAAAGCAATGGAATAGTTTACCTAGAACAATGGTGGACTCAACCTCACTGGAGGTTTTCAGATGTGGGTTGGGTGGCCATTCCTGAACTGATTAAGGTGTTGACCTAGATGACTTGTGTGATTTGAGCCAACTCATTCTGTGCTTCTACGATCATGATCCTTATCAGTTAAATATTTCCTGCTCCATTCAATACCGTTTATAAAACCCACGAAGGTACTAATTATCAAATGCTTTAATTTTTTTTAATGACAAGGATAGAAAGTGCAAGGGAACAGTGTACAGGCAAAGATTTTTTTTTCTGGTAAAGAAGAAAGTGAAAAATATTTTAAATTAGGACCAAAGTTCATATACAAAAGTTGTGGCTATAATAATTTAAAACAGGAAAGAAATAATTTATATTGAAAGGGTTAAGAATTTCCTACTGCATCCATTTTTTTCAGCTCCTGTTCTGTAAATAACAACTTTCTGTCTTCAAAACAGTTGGTTATATTTGTTTTTATATATTATATTATTTGCTTTTCATTTAATACTGCAATCTTAAGGCATTTAATTGAAAAATAGTTCCACTAACCATGGATATAGGTTAGTTAAAGCATCCCTGAAAATGTTCTTGAAGGGTGACATGAATCCTTGAAGTAAACAATTTCTGGCTTTCTTCAGCAATTACCAACTCATGGCACTACTAAGTCTTATGTTTTGGGAAGGCAATTTTTTTATTTTATTTATTTTTATTCATCATACTTATATAACAATGTCATGGTTAATAGATATAGATTTATATAGCAATGTTATGGATAATAGAATTTCTGGCCTATTTCATTTCAAAGATATGACCCATATATCATTAACTGAGCAATCATTGTAAAAAGAACTAATAACTATCACTATATTTGTTTACATTTCTTTAAAATGAATTAAATCAGTAAAAATTCTTACTTTTGCTGCAAATAGCTTGGCACCAAAGAGAGGCCACTTCCGTACCACAGCAAGGAAAATGCGCACACAGTCTGCAGCAGTATGCCCACGAAGAGCCATCCATTTGGTTGATAATCTCTGGTAAAGCTGTCTTTTAACATGAAGCATAAGAGGAAAAATCCAAAATAAAACAACAATATGTGGTAAATGAAATATTATTTGAAATGGAGCACAATATGAGATATATAATAGTGTCTGTTCTTTTCTTTCTCTCAGTTCTTAAACTCTCTCCATTACTTACCACAAATCCACTAAGGTAGTATTGTACTATAACTTTTTTTAAAATTTTGGTTTTAGCAAAGGATGTGATTGTGGTATGAGACAATTTCCAACCTACTGGGCAACAGAGATGGGAAAAATCTCTGAATGATAAGAAAATGGAGCAGATAGCCACCTGTACTCTTCCAGTTTACAAGGTATGTCATGTTTTGATGCACAACATTGTTTCTTTTACCATCCTATATTCTGAGATTTCAGGCAACAATTACAATAATTAATGACCATGATAAACATAGTAAAATGAATCAAACAATAAACAGTATTGAACATTATAAAACACAATGGTGTACATTTACTATGTGTGTGTATTCATCACATGTTTTGAAAGAATTTATTCAACTTGTCCAGTCTCTTCCCAAGGAATAAAAATTACTGCAATATTTAATGGGACATTTATGTAACTCTGTCTGTAGCTTATTAAAAAATATAAATATAAGCAACATACCTTAACTGTTCTTCTGAACAGTTATCTCTGTATCTTTTGGGGTAAAATTTCTCTACAACTTGTTTTAAAGTTTGATTAGATTTTGACTGGGAAGTTACTTGACCTGCTGGAGTTGAGAAAGGTCTTTCAAAGTCTCCAATTTCCACCTAGTGGATAAGCAACATAAGAAAAAAATAGCGATCACAAAAGCATCTTAGTACCTCAGTGTATTTAAGCAACTATAATCTAATGTGTATGTTCTCAGTAATCTTTTAAATAAACTTAATAAATCTAATCGCTGTAAATTCTATGAGTTATTTTTTAGAAGCTAAAAGTTTTAGATGCAGTAATTATCAGTGCCAGTAGAATTAAGTGTAAACATGCAGACATATTATGCCTAATAAAGTGTATATATATATATATATATGTGTGTGTGTGTGTGTGTGTGTGTGAATAAACTTTAAACAATACTATTATAGAATAGAGCAGTGTTGTCCAAACTTGGCCACTTTAAGATGAGTGGACTTCAACTCCCAGAATTCCCCAGCCAGCAT